TTTTATTTTTATATTTATATTATTATTTATATTATTATATTTATATAATTGTTTATATTTATAATTATAGTTTATATTTTTGCANATTAAAATACTTGAAACAAGTGGAAAACATGATGTTGCATACTAACGATGCGATGAGAAAGCTTATATATATGTATCTTGTGTGTGAATTATCTGAGACTCACGGCAATCGTTACAATATTCGACTTCGCTTGTGAATCTAACGAAAGACGGGAAGAACGCGAGAACCAACGATTAGTCTGTCTCAGTCTAAAAGAAAGACGGGCGTAGGCTGAATGATCTTCTAAAAGGCTTTTAGAAGATCATTTATTAGATCATTTATCTGTTCATGTACGGATATCATAAACATCTAAAGAACAGATTATTGCTTGTATATAAGGACATATGTAAGTCACTACCTGTATATATTTGTAATCGGTTTTTCTCTACACAATGCGTTTCTCTACATAAATTCTGTATTAATGAATTTAGGAGATTAAATAAGAAATTTTTGTGGCTGCAAGGGAGACACGAAAAAATCTCACACGATATAACTGATATCAAAAACATTAAATATTTTTGTAAAGTGTCAAATCATTCCCAGAGACAGGAGGGTATGTTGTCGCGTTCTAAAAATAAAGTTGTGAGTAGTGCAGCTAAGAGGGTTAAATTTGAGTTTTCTAATACACCTCCTTCCTCTACTTGTGATAATATTTTAGAAGTTAATATCTCTCCGGAGAATTTTACTAACATTAATCCTGATTTTTTATCTCCACGTGATGGTTGGTTTATCAACCTTTCCTCTGTTAATATCCCGACTCAGATTATCGGTTTATTACAATTAAGTGAAGGTTTTAGTTTACCTCCACAATGGAATGATGCGTTGACTATCAGCTTTATCAAATATTTAGGAAATAATTTACGTGGTTTCCCTCTTCCAGTAAAAATGGAGTTTAGAAATCGGTTTGTCTCTATATTAACCAAGGTTTCAATAAAAAAAGAAAAACGTTCGAGTTTGAACTCTGACATTTTGTCTGCTCTTTCGGCCACAAAAACGTTCTTAAGTAACAACAAAGATATTTTGTTTACCAAAGCTGACAAAGGAAATATGGTAGTTGCACTTGACAGGAATATTTATGTTGAAAAAATGTCTTTGCTTCTTTCTGATAGCAATACTTATATAGAGTTAAAGCGCAATCCGACCAATAAACTTTTAGACAGTCTACAAAATTTGTTAAAAAGATGGAGAGACCGAGATTTTATTTCTACGAATTTATACAATTACCTTAATGTTTCAAAGGCAATTTTACCGAGGGCATACGGTTTACCCAAGATGCATAAGGATGGTTATCCTCTCAGAATTATTGTTTCGTCTGTCGGCACGCCGCTCCATAAGTTAGCATCCTTTTTACACAAAATTATTTACAAAAATTCACCATTGGCCAGAAGTCACGTTTCTAACAGTTTTTCGTTAGTAAAAAAAAAATTTCGGACATTTACATTGAAGACTATTTTGAATTAATTTCTTTGGATGCGATTTCGTTGTTTACTAATGTCTCTTTGGAGTTGGCGGTCGACAGTCTTTTAGACAGATGGCATTTTCTGGAGAAGGGGACAACTTTACCTCGCGATGAATTCATTGGTGCAGTTTGCTTGGTTTTAAATTCAACCTTTTTTGTTTTTAATGATAAGTTCTACAAACAAACGTTTGGAACACCGATGGGTTCCCCTCTTTCTCCCGTTATTGCCGATCTTGTTCTGCAGGACCTCGAGAACTACGCTCTCAGTAAGCTTTCTTTTATTCCCTCCTTTTATCTGAGATACGTTGATGACATTGTTTTGGCGGTACCAAAGACGTATCACAGGGAGGTTCTTGACTCTTTTAATTCTTACCATCCAAGACTCCAATTCTCTATTGAGATTGGTAAAAATAATTCTTTAAATTTTCTTGACGTTACCTTGACCATTGTTGACAATTACATAATCACAGATTGGTACCATAAGCCCTCCTTCTCTGGCCGTTATCTAAATTTCCACTCGTACCATCCTATGTGTCAAAAAATTGGAACCATTATTGGCTTAATCGATCGAGCGTTCTTCCTTTCCCATCCTAGATTTCACGAAAAGAATTTCCAGCTCATCATAGATATTCTCCTAAATAATAACTATCCTGTACAATTGATCTTTGAGGTGATTGGTAAACGTCTTAGGGGTTTGTTTAACGGTTCTGTTGGTGGTGAGGGACGTCTGAAGCGAGTTCTTGATGGTGAAAAAGAAAGAAAGTTTTTTGTGGTGCCGTATGTTCATTCAATTTCGAGGGGTGTGGCTGATTTTGTAATTTCTAAGGCTAACATGAGGCTGGCCTTTGTGAGCAATAATAAACTTTCTAAGTTTGTTCGCGTTCACAAGGATCCTCTGCCTCCTTTGGCTAGGTCTGATGTGGTCTATTGCATAAAATGCAACGATTGTCGGGCTTCATATGTTGGCCAAACAAAAAGATTGCTCGGTACACGCATTAATGAACATAGAAGCCACATTCGTCGGAACACACAATGTCAATCTGTTATTACTGATCATAGAATAGAATGTAATCATGATTTTGATTGGAGTAATGTTTGCATATTAGATGAAGAGCACTCTTACACAAAGCGTCTGGTTTCTGAGATGCTCTATATTAAGAAACAAACTGTTGGCCTCAATTTACAGAGTGACACAGAGTTACTAGATAATATATATTTACCTTTAATAGAAAAGTTTAAGAAATTATAATTTAACTCCTTTCAATCTCTTTAGGTGTCTCTGGTTCTCTCTATCTTTCTTGTTTATATTTTTGACCTACTGGTTAGTCTCGTTACAACTGTGAGAGATACAGCACGTTTTATCTGTCTCTCATGTACACGTTCTCAACAACACGTTTGTATCTTACATCTTGCGAGACAAATGCATTTTCCGATTTATTATTTTTGTGAGTAATTTCGTTCTATATTTGATCTATTAACTTTATTTTATATTTGATTGTTTTTTTCTTATTACACAGGATTTTATGTATTCTTTTTCTGAAGATGATCCCATCCGGGAATCGAAACGTTAAACGTTTTTGAATAAATTTCATTTACAAAACATTTACACACTGACAACTGTGTTTAGGCTCACATTGGCCAATTCACCTGATTTTTTTACGTTAAATCTAAAGAAACCGTTCTCTCTGTGTACATATATCATAATTGTAAATGGCAAATTTTTTTCTATTTAAGTATTTTTATATATATTTGACACGCATATTTGAATAAGAATGCTTATCAAGCAGTTTTGGTTATTTAAATTAAAGCGCGCTCGCACAACCAACAACATGGTGGAAGATTTCCATAAAGATTAAAAGCACCAACACGGAGTGTACCTACTGTTCTTATTTATACTGGCTGCTTTCCGAGTTATGCATGAAGCGCATAGACTGCATAGAAAGTCGTTCCGATTTAAACAATGCGCGCATTGAAAGCGCTTTGATAGAGCTGAGAATTCCCTAGATTGTACTAACCGTGTCACCGTCGGCAGCCAGGGTCATTCCCGCGGTTGAAAGGATGGAGGCGGTCTCAGTGAGCGCGTTGCTGACACGGTCGGACCCGGAGGCAGACGCGTTGTTTGACCTGGCAATCGCGGGACCGTCAGGGGTCATGCGGACACGCTGCCAAGGGGAACGGCAACAGGACGCCGAGCCGGAATCCGAGTCAAGCATGGATTAGAGGACGCAAGATATTAAGGGTAATCAGCCAAGAATATTTTATTTTATTTTAGAGCGCGAAACGTTTGTGTACTCTAGCTTTATATATACATAACCATGTATTCGCATTTTATATTCATATTTAATTTAAGCGCTCGGGATGCATAACGCCCTTTTTATTTAATCAAAAATTTATAAAATTTGTTTTATCCATTTTCGTTTTACTTAGAATAATCCCATAAATAAATTAGATTAGGGATTACTCGCCAAACTGACATTTACGATATTGACTAAAAAACTTGTACAACTTGCAATTTCAATTGTCAGCGAAACTCTTGGGATTGAGTTGTTTACGTGTTTAAAACACGTGGGTAAAGTTTGGCCCACAATTCAAAATTTGACAAAAGTTAGGTTTACTGACTTAGATCTGGTTAGGGGACTAACTTTTGAAAAGTGGTTGATACTGCGTCAACTTGTTGGTTACTCCGAGGTAACTCAAACCTGAAAATAACGTGAACAATTCAGGTAATGAAAAAGGGTTAAAAGAGGTACTTATCCGCGTTGAGTTGTCCCACGTTGTCAGAACGAATCCGTGTCGTCTGAGGAGTCCAGCAGCAGTTACCTGAAACAGAAAAGAGGGTTAGTGAGAGTTTTGTTAGTTTAAATTGTTGGTTATACTTGGTCAGTAAACTAGACTTAAGTTGTTGTGACTGGTAGATTTTCCACAATTGAAATTGTTAGTTTTCATCCGTCCGAAATAAGACACTTGTAAACGAACCCGGAATTGACATGCAATCAACCTAGACAAGACTGAGACTCCACGCAAGAGAGAGTAGTGTAAGGTATAAGAAGGAAAGTGTGTTGTGAAAGCATGAATGTAATATTCACAATGGCCGGGCAGATCAACCGAGGTACAGTGCGATACCTGGGAACGGTCTAGCTCGAGAAGAAAAATAAAAAATAAAATTTTTCGCAGGTGTTAGAATTGTCGGAAAAACGGTTGTTAATAACGCGTGTCACGTACAATTCTGTAACACAAAAAAATTGTTGTTTGTAACAAGTGTTAATAAACAATTTGTAAACTATACAACCATAAACTCAGTGTGTGATTATTTCTCACCACTTGAACTTTGGTGGAACTTGGACCATACCAGAAGCCCATTGTTCGCATCAGGCGTCCGGGATCCGTGTTCAAAGAGGTTCCAACGGCGAGGGCGGCAAGTTCGGATGGTCGTCTGTCTGGTGAATCCGTTCCTGAAACAGACCGAAAGGGTCATATCCTTCCTTCTTGTCGGGTTAAAGAAGGTGGCAACCGTGAGAAGTTCTCTCGTTCAAGTGTCCGGTCACAACCGTACTAAATTCTTGAGACTCCTCCCAGCGCACTGACTGCTTCTACTCTGACTGTGTTCCAAATTTACTGCCAGCGCTGCAAGTATGTCGTATAAAAGCAAGATACCAACATCGTAATTTTGCTAAGCACGTTATCAGTACAAATATAGATTTCAAATTGGAACGATATTTTAGTGAGTTTCAATGCCAATAGCAGAGAAAGTAAACACAAAACAGATATAATCTAACCCGAAAATATAGAAAACAATATGCAAAAGATGAATATTTGAAAATCACATTAAAGAAATATGTGACTCTTGCTTTCTCAGCGTCTTCTGCTGATATGGCTAAATTGTATTTGATATTATTTTCCACATCAATTACCGTTAATTGTTCCATGGTAGTCGCCATCTTTAATGCTTTAGCTGCTTCACCTATGTAGTTGTGACATTCTCTGTAAAAGTGACGACAATATTAATGACGTCCTTATGCTTTTGCAGCATTGCCATAGCGTGCTATTACATATTTTAGAACAGTGTTTGCAAGTGCTGCCAGCGCTGGAAGTAAATTTGGAACGCAGCCTCTGACTTAAGACAGTTGATGCGTTTATGCAGTTTATGCGCGCATTAACCTAGCAAACAATTTCTGACTGCGCAGATCTGGCAACAAAAACTGTGTGCAGAAACGCTACAATACGAAAACATGCTTTGTGTGCTGCCAAAGCTGTTAACACACAGACACAAAAAACGCAACATAGTCACCAAAACTCATCAAAACCATATCCTACTGAGGACACAGATGGATATGGATTTGGTGTGGCGGTTGGCGACAAAATCGCGACATCTGACAACCAAATTGTTTGCTGGGTAATTAAATCGAAACAACTAACACTGTGTTTATGAGGACAATAACTTATGACGGGACCGGAGAAGTTTAACTATAGGATTTCAATGCTTCTGTTTATACGAAATTCCCGAATGAACTACAAGTCATCTTACAAGATTAAATGTGAAATAAATTTTAAAAACATCTCAAAATTATAAGTAAAATAAATATGACAAAATCAGATAGAAAATACACTCACCTGCAAAAAAATGGGCCACCTAACTTTAGCACAACTTTATAACATTTTTCACTAGCAGATAATTCCGCAACAAATCTTCGTTATTTCTCATCGAGACAAACAAAAGCTCACATTCAAGCTTAAACATTTCTCTTAATAACCAAAAAATTAAACTTACGAACAATATTTTACAAAATAGCGGCTATTAAAGATAGATTGTGAAAAACGGTAAGAAAACTTTTGTCTTTAAACTGTTGCATTGGTCAGAGGAATCGATTGCCTGGTATAAAATTGTATAAGTTGTGAAGCTCATTTCTTTCCAAACAAATTCGTATTTGAAACATTTTTCTACGATTCTTTTTAACATTGAAATTATACAAAACATTCCCTACAAATATTATACCTCAATTTATATATACTCAACAGTTGTCTATGAACATATATTTTATAACACTGAAACGTATACGTAACAAGAAAATTTCGAACTTAAAAGCCACTCAATTAATTAACATTCAACCAGTACAATATTTTATCCATAATAATACTCAAAATTCTCAGAAACATACACCAAACACATATCACAGAGAATGGGTATTCAGTCTTCACAATTACAATCAAACAACTAACAACCTCAAAATAAAATTAAAACTAGAAGAATTCAAACATAAAGAAAAACTAGATTTACAGTTAGACAACAAATGATTTGTAGATTTAACAAACTTAACAATTCCTAATCAAATCACAGAATTAATCCAACTAGGTGACAGATTTGCACTTCCGGTTAGGAATGATAAAAAAAAAGTAGTCATTGAAACTATTAAGGACGTAGAAGTTAACATTAATAAACTAAAAAAAAGCCAACAAATCTAATATCCATAATCACATTAAAACTTATCTACAAGACATTATAAATGATAATAGACAGTTAACATACACAGAAAAGAGCTTGCTATTAAAATCAAAATCCGTCTCTAACTTCATCAAAGATAATCCTAATATTATATTTACTAAAGCAAATAAAGCAAATAAAGGGAACTTTATCGTTGCTTTACTAAAAGATGACTATTTAAACAAAATTAATGAAATATTACAAAACAAAAATATTTACACACACATCAACAAAAATCCGCTTAAAAGTATATAACCAATTAAAGAATTTCCTCGATCGATGGATTACTAAAGGTTTCATTAATCTATCAAAAGAAATACATGTATAATAGCGATCCTATACTACCAAGAGCACATGGAGTTCCCAAAATTCATAAAATAGGCCATTCATACAGAATTATCGTATCAGCCATAGATAGCTCTCTACATTGTTTTTTCCTTATTCTTACATAAAATAATATATAATAACATTCTGAATTCTACGTTCTCAATCAAAGATAGTTTCCATCTACAATATATAACAAATTGTCAGGCCAAACAATTAACGATGACCATACTCTTTGTTTGTTTGACTTCGTATCATTGTTCACCAACATACCAATAAATTTAACATTAGAAAGTGTAACTAGAAGATGGAAATATCTAAGATTAAATACTAAACTTTCACAACTTGAATTTTTAATGACATTAGACTTTGTTATGTCATCTATATTGTTTTTTAATAGCAAAATCTACAAGTAGACATTTGGAACACCTATGGGTTCCCGACTCTCATCAATTATAGCAGACATCACCATGCAAGACATAAAACTTAAAGCCTTAAATTCATTAAATTGCACTATTCTAATATACTTCAAATACGTAGATGACATCTTATTAGCAGTTCCAAAAACCAACTGACAAGCGTCCTTAATACGTTTAATTCAATCCATAATAGATTACAGTTCACCTATGAACTTGAATCTGACAATAGTATCAGTTTTCTAAACACATGCATTATCAAAAAATAAGTTAATTTGTGACCGGTACCACAAACTAACATTCTCGGGCCATTACCTACATTTTTTATCGCAAAACCCTGTGCCACAAAATTGGTACTATAATTACTTTAGTTGATAGAGCAATGTTATTGTCGAATACCTTAATCTTCCACCAAAAAAACTTACATTTAGTTATCAATATTCTTATTAATAATCATTATCCATTAAAACTTATATTTAAAATTATCAACAAAAGATTAAGGACACTAATTAATACCAAATTAAATAGAATTCCACATACAACTGACAATATGTCACCGGTCACAAATCAACTTATTTTTGTTTTTGATAATGCGTGTGTTTAGAAAACTGATACTATTGTCAGATTCAAGTTCATAGGTGAACTGTAATCTACAATATTATGGATTGAATTAAACGTATTAAGGACGCTTGTCAGTTGACAATAATAACGATGACACCAGATACGTAATGCCTTATGCCTCAACTCAATCCGACAAAGTTAACTATTTTTTTTTTAAATGAACATCAAATTTGCTTATAAAAACATTTCACGGTTAAATAAATATATAAAAAACACACAAAGATCCAATTTCTTTAGAAAATAACAAAACTGTAGTACGGCCGGTATTCAAAGTCGGATCTTGTATTTAAGATCGTCTTAAGTTTATCTTCAGATCATGTGTGAGTAATTTTATTGGCCGCAAAGCATCTGAAGATAAACTTAAGACGATCCTAAATATAAGATTCGACTATAAATACCGGCCTATATCACATCAAATGTGAATCTTGTAATGCAAACTATGTCGGACAGGAAGGCAATTAGGCACAAGAATAAAAGAACACATAAATTATGTTAAAAAGAAAGACGAAAAATCCGTATTATATGAACATTGTTCGAGAACTGGACATACGTTTAATTGGAACTCGGTCACAATATTAGACAAAGAACCGAACTATTACAAGCGGATTACATCCAAAATGCTTCACATAAAAATGAATAAAAATACCTTAAATATTAAGAAAATATGAATAAGATCATAAGAGCTGTTTTTGCAGAATGTTATGCCGAAATATACTTTCATATGTGCATACATATATATTGTTACACCGCCGCCGCGTTTTCGCTAAATTTATTTTTCAATACGATGGCGCACCTACACATTCGTCTAGACGTGTTCGCCGTTTCTTGAATGCAACGTATCCAAACAGATGGATAAGACGCGGTGGACCATACTTCTGGCCAACGAGATCTCTGGATTTAACTCCGTTCGATTTTTTCCTTTGGGGGCATTAAAAAAATTACGGCAACCGCCTCAAAATCGGCAAGAACTGAACGAACGTATAATAGAAGCAATTGGAAGCATAACTCCACAAATGATTTACAATGCCGGACAGAGTTTGTTGCATTAAGCAAGATACGTATACAAGTGAATGGTGGACATTTTGAACAATTATTATAATTATTATTTAATGTATGAAGATTGTATGTTTTTAATTAAAACGTGTTGATAATTAATTTACTTAATGTCAATATTTTGTCATTTTGTTATCTATTATAATATTAATAATTTGTTTATGTCAGTAAATAATAAGACTGCTCTTTTTTAATATCTTTGTCACAATATTATTATTTTTATGTATAATACGCAAATTTTAAATGACGCAAACTCTTACTTCATTATTATAACATACGCTTTAGTGACAAAAGAGGGGCGACACTGTTTGCGCCTTTAGCATTGTCCCGCACCTGAGCGCGCGAATTTCAGGCAATCTTATTCGTTATCTTTGAATGCTTCTAACTCAAAAAATATTATAGCCTCAACACTTTAGTATTAGGATTTTTGTCTTAGAATAATCTCGAGAATCTACTGGTAAAAGGAAATCCGGTAGTTGCGGGACATCCCTATATTTTTAGATCCGTGGAGAAATACCTAGCTGTGGATATTAACAAAAAGTCGACAAGAT